GTTTAAACCCGAGACTCCATTTGTTTCGCGAACCTCGACCCACGAGCCGAGGTAATTAGTCGCTACCTTGACTTTAGAGATAACGAACAACCCAGAGTCTCTAGCATCCTTGATCGATCGCGACACGAACGAAACGGTGGATGCAAGGCTAGAAAGAAACGCGCCGGACGATGATTGATAGCGAAAAATGCAGACGCGTTCGCACATGGCAGAGCCATTAAGGCGACCCGTTGAACGAGCGTGTCTGTTTCACGAGCAAACAAAAAAGACTCGCCAGCTTCGGCCATCAATAAGACGTTATGTCCAATATGCTGCAGTTTTTCGCTAGACGTTCGAAATTATTTCCCCGTTCCCCGGATCGAAAAGCCTAGAAAGTTGCGGGATAGAGGGCCAGTTGAGTCGGAGGAATGCTGTGTTAAAAAGTTTCCGATGTCCACTCGCTGAATCCTCGATTAACCAACGATGACGCGAAAAACTCGACCAAACGCGACCCGACCCGTGTTTCGAGGTCCATTCTTTGCTCGTTCGATGCAAATTAACCGCGAATTATTAATGGATAAACGGAGCTTTTTGGCTTGGCTGCGTACAGGTTCGCTGGCATGATCGACCGACGAATTAGTGCTTTCGCCGGCACGCTCGGATAACCGATTAAATTTGTAACTGGTCGCGTTTTCGATACGTCCGCCAATAATACGGTTTGGTTACTCGTGCTGTGATCAACGCGAAATTTTCCACCCCCCTTTTTTTTTTGCTTCTTTCCCGTTTTTCCTTACGCGTAATTCGTTTCCGCGATTCGCGTCCAATGGAGTGGCTGTTTTTATTAACCGCGAAGGGGTGGCGCGCGCCATTTTGGTTTCGCTGCCATGTAAATCGCTTCTGCGTTGAAGTTCGAGAAACAGATAAGGAAAATTTACCTAACTCCCGTCCCGTATCAGATCGAAGAAATAGTGTATGCAGTTTCTGTAACTAAATACGTGGCTACGCGTTATAATAAATTCAACTTACTGTCGTTGGGAATTCAACTGTTTTCCACTATTCGCAAAGTTGAACGGAAGATAAAGGATGGAGTACATAAAGTTTCAGACAAACGACTGCCACGACCGGCGCGATACATTTTGAAACAACGGCGTGCGTTATCTTGACACGGGTCCACCGAACGAACGTGAACCGTGTGTAATAAGAAATATTTAAAGCGGTACGAAAAGACGTAGTCGCGTGCTGCAGAATTCCTCGATAAATTCTACTTGTCCCGGAGTCTCGATAATCCTCTGATAAAATAGGTGTCCTATCTCCGGCAAATCCTCTCCTACTAATAATAAGTCTATCGACCCAGTTTATCAATGTTGCGCGAGATAAACACGCTTTAATCCCGGTAAATCCTTGGCCTCGAAATTGGGGGTGAAAGAACCCCGGCGAAATTTAGCTGCCAGGCGGCAACAGCTTTTTATCCCGCCCGATGTGAGACCGCTAAACTCGCAACGCTTAATTGCTGATCGGATTAACCCGCTGTGAAATACAATATTCGTACTGGAGCTCACGACTTCGTTTCCCGGTTCACGGTTATTAAACAATTAGTTCTTTCAACTTTCCTCGCGTTTAATTGCCTCCCTAGTACCTCGATTTAACGCGTTCGTTATCACCTCGGATTTGCGAATTTTCTACTTTGCCACGTTTCGACGACACGCGTGTACGTTCGCACGCTATAAACGCCACGCCGGTCCCTATGGGCGCTAGATTTTTCGGCGCTAGATTTTTCGTTCGGGCCCCGTATGGCCCGGAAGGGCCCGCATGACGTGCGTTGGATCAGATAAAATTACAGGAATTTTCAAGGCGAGCTTCGGATAAGGAATTCTTCCGCGAGCAATGTCCGCGAAAGGGTTAATCGAACGTTTCCGTGTATTTTGCCCATTTCTTTTCTCTCTCGTTTGTCCCTTGGCGTGCGGAATTAGGCGACGCATGGCGGAAAAGTTCTCGTTGCTTGCCGCAATCTTCCGTGGCCACGTAGTACGCCGCAAAAACTTTGGCGCAAGAATTCCGGGTCGGCCAGTGATATAGTGCAACGGGCTTTAATTTTCCGACGGCGGCGGTGCTCAAAATTTCTATCCAAGTTTTACAATTCAACGGCCCGCCCCCTTCGGCCGGTAACCAATGTGAATCACGGTGAAACAATCGGAAAGTTAGCGCCGGTAACTACCCCAACCGAGAAAATTACGTTCGAGGCGAAACTTCCTGCCGGGGTCGGGAGGAAAGAAAAAAGCCGTTGTTGCTGCAGATTGAACCGTACTGCTGCGACAACGCTGACTGGATTATGCGCCACTTCGATAAGTCTCGATATGGCTTTCGAAAGAAGTGGAAATACCACTCGGGCAAACTGAGGCAATGATATTGCGAGTATTAAGTAGCCTGATTCTTCGACTTGGCGATTTTGTATTTCGAGGGTTCATTCCACTTTCGAAAAGTAGATCTTGCTGGCATTTGCTCTAGCTGGATCGCTGAAAGTTTTATTACAAACTGGACACGAGGCACGGCAGGAACAGTGGGAACAATGTCCTTTCCCGTCTTTCGAAGCGAAGCAAAATCGGAACGAATTTCGTATAGCGGCAAATTCGCTGAAAAACGTACGACACGCGAATATTCTAGGCACGGTGGATCTCGTAAAATTAGTATTTAATGGCCGCTTCGACAGTTGACTCGTTCTTGTCTTACATCGAGCTTACCGAAAACGTATTATCGTTCCCTGGGCATTTCATATTCTTGCCACAAGTTTTTAATAAAGTCACACGCGACCTACATGCGTGTAACGTTCCTTCTTATTTATATCCATGGAACATAGAAGTTTAGTCGGTAAAAAGTGGGACAACCCGTGCAGAACCGGAGTCACGTCTATGAAATTACTGCTACGTATCCAAGCGATATTCCGCTTGCGTCTTCCGGCTCGCTCTCGCGTCGCGCGGAGTTAACGAGCGACGCGGAAATTATTCTCGTCGGGTAATTTGACGTCGTTCGCCACACGTCAAATCAAATCGTGGCGCGCGCACGTCGCCACGTTAGAAAAATAATTTACATTGTCGCGGCAAGTAAGCGCCTTTGAGAACGTTTCCTCTACCTTTCCGACCATTGCGAGAGCTTTCGCCGAGAGGCGGCGCACGGCCAGCGAACCTCTGTCGCGTGCAATTCCACCGGACTCCTTTCTGTCGGCCTGGAAGAGCTTGAATTTCCCCTCCGAGTCGCGCCTGCCGTCGCGCCCCCTTTCTTCCATTTTTCTCCCCTCCTTTTTCTCCTTTTCCATTCTCTTGAAAAACGTAATCCTCGTTAAATTACGTCCTATATAGCCTCGCACAGACCTATTAAAGGGTCAAAGTTACTTTAACTTTGACACGGCGCGGCTACAGTGCCCCAACTTGCTCCGGAGCAATTATAGAATAGTCGACGGCTGCAATTAACTTGAGACCGCATCGGTACAAACGCCACACTACCTGCCTCTGCACGCCTATGAACACGTTTGTTTTTGCAATTAACCAATTAGCACCTGTCGAGACGCTCCGTCCGGAATAACGACGAAATCGCAATTATACCAACCAGTAAATAAGTAATATCCCTGTACCCCTTATCCTTGAGAAATCTTCCAAATCGCCGGTTAAATGTCCTAAGGATCGATTTTACTTACGGGACCGACATTGCTTAGAAAAACACCCCGGAATTTAACGAAGTCGTGTTTCCTGAAACGTCAGAATTTCTTTCGCATCGCGGCGAGATCGACAGGTACCGATTTATTTAAATTTAATTCAGTCGACTTCTCTACTTTGTCGATTTATTAACGGCAAAAATTTTTATTTTTTCCAACCCCGTGCGGGCGTCAAGATCTCCAGTCGAGAGCTCGGTTTATCGCGCGTCGAGGGGGTTAAATCCAGGAGCCAGTGGCAAGATATAAAATCCCTTTTAGGGTACGCAAAAACCACGTAAGCTCGGATGCATTCCAAATGTACAGGGTGTTCGAATAAGAACGGGAATAATGAAATTCCTGTCGGTCATACCGCGTTTCCATATTTATTACGGTACTGTTTTACGCCATTTTCACGGTTTATAGATTCGTAGAAAAGGATTTCATTTCCTGAACAGTTTTGCTTCCCTCTTTATACGTTTCTCCCGTTTCCTGGACAACACGCTGCGCATCTCGCTTGCCCAGCCTTGAACTCTCAGTTTTGTCCGCTTTGCGAGTTCACTGAACGTCGGTATACCACCCATGACCTTTGAAAATGAAATATCACCGTACCCTTTTTCTCTCACGGCGTAAAGTTGCAGAGGCACGAATTAATCACACGATCAAAACACACGCCCATTCATTTTCGGCTCTCATTACCACCCCTCGTAGCTTATTATTACGGTTTAAAATTTATTCCCGTTCGCTCGTTACACATCCCCCTACCCCGCGGGGCGTAAACGCTGTATTATTTCAGGGCCGTATTGCTCGCCGACTCGAAACCAGCCGAAACATATTCGCCGGAAATAAATACCCACCTCGTACGTAAGACGCCCACGCGACCGGCCAATTAATTCCCCATCCTACGGCCCTGGTTTCTTTCGTTTCCGCAGTTTCGCGGCCGCGCAAAAAGCCCGGCGTAATTTATAATTCAATAACTCGGTAATTTAACGTTCAACAACTAAAAGCACTTCGACCGCATAATAGTTTCATAATTGGAGCGCCGACGGGCCGGGAATTTTTAATCGAATTTCGCGATTCGAGCCTGTAATTCGGTGCCTCGTTAATTCGATCGGGACGCCGGTGAACCCGTACGATAATCGAACCGCGAAGAAAATCGACGAGAATCGTCGCCGGCATCGAAGATCGCGCGCGTGTCGCGGCGTTCCTCGAGGCGTGCAGCGTCGTCCGGTGCGTGTATTTAGGCTGGTCCACGCTAAATTTAAATCAGTCCGTGGCGAGGCCACTGAACGCGACACTGCACGCCACGTTCCCATCGATTTCGAACTTCTCCACGGTGTCTCTTAGTGTTCGAGAAGCTTCTCGACGGGAATTTCGAAGCCGAAAGCTCGAGACGCGGCGCGTTTTTCCGATTTGCTCCTCAACGTATCGCTCGTATGCGCGATCGAGGATGAAAGGATGAAAGAGTGCGCGTTCATCGTGATCGCTGGATGAATTAGCTGAGATAATCGAGTAAGTATGTGTCTCTGTATCGAAATATACGTATTCGTATTTATATTTGGAAATACGGAATTCGATTTCCCGGATTCGGAACTCGACGATGTATCCGTGACGCGATCGGAAGGTTCCCCGTCGCTTCGTTAGTTTTACCCAGTGTATTAAACGGTTTCTGCCTGTGTCCAATATGGCGGCGCTGGTACAGTTTCAGCATCCGGCGAGGAACGAGATTCGATCGCTGCGCGATTATATCGTTGGCTGTTTATCATGCAGAAAATCTGCCCTCGACGCCGGCACAGATTAAAAGAACAACTCGTCTCGCTTGATCGTCGATGCGATCGCTGAAATTCCGCTCGAAAAGTATGGCATTTCGTTATAAAATGTTCCACTCGCGATGAAAAAGCGCGGTACGCTGGCGTGTGTCGACGGAAATATTTGCAAGCGTGTAGAACGCGCTATATTTATCGAAAAATTTCTCCGTACAAATTCCAACTAATAACCGATTCATCGAAACCGCGACTATTCGAAACAATCGTTGCCAGGCGTTCGGAACTATTCGTTCCTCCGGCAAGCCGTGGCAGGCGATATTTAAAGCTCTCGAAAAAGGGGAGTTGTCGCGAGGAGAAAGAGAAATGGGGAAAAAATGAGAAAAAATAAGGAAAAATGTCGGAATGAAAAGAAGTGGAGGAAAACGGGAGAGGAAAGGGGAAAAATTGTGACGGGAACTCGCGGATATTCGTCGAAAGGCGCAATGCCAGGACACCGAGCTGTCGATAGCTCGGAGTTTTCGTTGGGTCGCGCGGCTCGTATCGAAACGAGGCCGTCGTTACGTTTTTAACAACACCGACACTCGACATCTGCCTTTTTAACGATCATGATCCACGTAATTCCGGGGGAATAACCGAGCTTGTCTCACCCCGCGCGTTCCGTCGAGCTTCTCCACGACCGTTCCTCCGACTCGGCAATTATGTCGGGTTCAGCTGCAATTAAGCTCTAGTTCGAGCCGTAAGTGGCGCATCTAGAACTACTATTACCGATAAATTTATAGCCTATCGATATCTTATAAAGGGGCGGGGGGTGGGCCAGTTAAGGATCGGGTAAATGTAAATTGTCGACGAAAGAGCTTGAGCCTGGTAATAATGTATCTATTGATCAAGGAACGAACGAGAAAAAGCGTTCGAGACGACAGGTGAACTTAGCACGAGTCGACGCGCGAAATTTATCGTCGCCTGTAATTGCGAATCACGTTCTTTGTCAATTTGGAAATTCGTTGCGAGAACATTTTTCCCCGGCGAAGCTTATGTCTTTCGTTGGAGGAGAAAATTCGGGAGCGCCCTTCCAACGGTTCCAATTATTTTCGCTGCTATCCCCGTTAGAAAGCCAGTTTCCCTGCATCGTGCCGCCTAATTGGAACATTCTAATTTCCCCTGTCCCGTTGTTTTCCTGCCCGCTGACATCGCTAATTCCAATTTCCGGCGTTGCAACAATTCACTCGACGTGGCCGACGATAACCGTAAGGAACGAAAAAGCCCCTAGAAATTCCCCGGTAACCCGTGGCCCCTTCTCCGTTTCGATTCCAGTCTACCGGAGACGGCCCCGTACGTTTCCACGCTCTACGATCGCTGTTTTTTCCCTGATTTTGTGGCCACGAGAAACCCTGGTATTCATAATCCCTGCTAGACTGCGAAAGAGGGGAGAACTCGAAATTCCACGCGGTCTACTGAATGGACCCGGACCCGATATTCGATTCAATTTCTGCACAGGAGTATATACCAGACCGCTAGCCAGGAGAGCTCGAATGGAGACCAATGGCCGGCTGTTTCTACCCCGTAGCTCGGATCGGGCTCGATCCAGCGCGAGTACCTCACGCTGGGAAACTCGACGTCCGACGCGTAAAAAGAGGAGTCGACTTTATGGTTGTGCGCGCATCGGCCACCTGTTTTTAACCAGCAGTTCCCATGGCTCGGATATTTTCTTGCTTCCCCTATTTTCTTCCTTTTTTACACCCTCCTCTCGGGGCTTGATTTTTAAAGGCGAAAAGTAAATTAGCTGCACGGCTATCATTTATCGCGATCATTATTCGACTCCGCCGAGCCGAGTCGTCGCGTTCGTATCGGATGAAGAAAATCGAGGAGACGTCGATTCGAAATTATCGGGTACATTTGCGCACGACGAGTCGTAAATAACCGAGACTGACGCGGTAATGAGCGGTCGATCTACTTGTAGCCCGTTCCCCTCGGCTATGTAATTAATTTGTCAGCTTCGAGTCGGAGAGGAGCGTTTCCTAGTCGGATAAAACATCGAATTATGACAATCCAGCTGGATTGCACGCGGTATATCCGCGTTTCCACACGAATCAGACGTCAAGGCTGAACGTAACGTACGTTAACGCGACGCGAGAATAAAGCTCGTCGCGAGGATTCGCTCCAAGTTACAGACGTCGCTCGGGCTTTTTCGAAATCTCGTTTCCAAACAAGCGAAACAAACTGACCGTGACAAAGGGTCGCCGCGCGAGGACGGATAGAAGATTTTCCACTATGAAACAATACTCGCTGTAACAACGTCGCTTTACAAGTCCGTATCCATTATCGTAAATTTCGACTCGTACGCGAGCAAACGCCGTTGTTGAAATGGCACAACCGGTTTACCGAACAATGCGTAAGATTTAGTATCGATCGTTGGAGAAAATGGGTGGAAAGTTTGGACAAACGAGCCGGGTAACGCAACTGTGGACCGGGTCTTGCGTACACCGCGGGAAAATATTGCGATTGGCGGTGTCAAAGGATTGAAAACGGTAGAAATTTCAGCAAAACGTGCGGGAAAACAGGCCACGTTGCAGGTTCACCGACATTTTTAGGAAGTCCGTGTGAAGCGCGAAATGGGCCCGTGACTGTCGCTCGTACTTTGTCGGCCACGATGAAAGTTAGTTCCGCGCGCGAATTTTCACTCGAACGATAAAAATGTCCGCAATATTCAGCGAGACATCGATTTCACCGTGTACCTTTTGTCCGGAAACGCTGCCATTAAGATTCCGTCCCTTCGATCCGACGTTAAGTTACAACCCGCGTAATTGCACGTTGATACGCGTGCGAGATAATAACCGAAGGGATTTTACTTTAATCGCAACGAAGGTTGCCCGCTCATTTTTGCTAGCCATCGTTCGATGCATAAATAATCGCGGATAAATCCACCGTTCCGCGAAACGCTAATATTATTCCAACGACTCGCGGCAGGTTTAATTCGTCGTTTGAAAAATCAGCTCGCTCGATCCCCGTTTAATTAAATTACCGTTTAAAGCACGTTACATCGAAACATCATTTTTTCCCCGATTTTTCTCCGGCTCGGGTATTATTGCCGTCCGCGAAATCGATTTTCCATTAAGTTGCTCGCAAAACGAACGAAATGATAATTAATCGAAAGACCTTCCGAAGAATTTCTTCTCGTCCCTGTAATCCCGGATTGAACGGAAAAACGGCGAAGAGATGGAGGATTTGCGCGAAGACAAAGGGATGATGACGCGAGGCGTCAATTTTCAGAATTTCCCAGTCATCTGTGCGCCATTTCTCCGCGACCGTCCTGCGACAAAGTACACAGAAAGCGGGAATAGCGCGAAAATAGTCCTTTGATGTCAACTACAGTCACTATGGCAGTTTGCCGAGCTTCATTCCCTTAAAAACCAACGTGCCGGATTTATTTACAAGCGAAATTCACCGAACATCTCGTTTCTCGTTGAATCCTCATCGAATCGGCAAGTTTGTTCCGCGAACACGGATGATCGTTGAATAGAATCTCCTCGAATATGAAGCTGGAGCAATTAGAGAAGCGACACACCCTTGACGAGTGAGTGTTTGATTCCATTTCGTTGGGGTTTGGTCGTTAATTGTCTGGATCGATAAAACGATCGGTTGGTTTAATTAATTTTCCCGCGCATCTTTCCGCGATAATTAATATGCTAAATTCCGTTATAAACGGGGAAAAAATTGGTATAATTAGAAGGAAATAACGCAATAATTAAAATTTGAATATCTGATCGTCGATAACCCGTGCAATTAACGCGTTTTCAGCGAAACGAGGAACCGGGCGCAATAACTAAGCTTGCAAAACACAATTTTCGCGAGGCTATTACGGTAATAGCGCTCTGTTCCACCTCGATTCCCGCGCCTTGTACTTATCAGCATTGTCTTCGCTACCGGTATTATCTCTATCATTGCCGCGTCAGTTATTATTATTCGCACTCCGATGTTTGTCGCGCGTGAGTCAATTTCAACACAGTGACGTGTACTTTTCCCGTGCGATGCATCGGTGTTCGTAATTACCAATATTCGCGTTCAATTCGTCTGGGAATCTAATAAATCCGGTTGATCAAATTTCCGCTCTCGACGCTGATGAAACAATAACGAGTAATTTCCCGAATAAACAAAATTTCTCCAAGTATCGAAGCCAAATTTCGTAGTTTCGAACGAATCTCCTGTCGGAACTTTCCTCGATTGCCTTCACTCGCAACTTATTTTCCCTGTAACTCTGGGTACGCCCCGACTCCGTCGACTGTTTCCTCGTTCCCTTATTACGTGTAACCAAAATCTCCGTTTAATCGAAAAAACAGAACGCGCAGTTTATCGCGGATGCTGATATAAATTCCCAATTTTCGTCTCGCGAATTTTCCACGACGATAGCGAATATCGTCGAATTTTTCGAAGCATCATTCGCGATACCCACGAATCGCGACTCTGACGAAGTAATTACGATGTCGATCCTCCGTCGAGAAGGCCATAGCCACCTTCGATGATTTCGTATAATTCAAGCGCACTTTGGATCTTCGAAGCTCCAACAAAGGAAAGAGAGCGTGCAGACGATTCGACGAACAACACTGCAATTAACTTGGACCTCTCGAACGCGGGAAAGTAGGAAGGATGCGTTAGAAGCAGCGATCGAACGGCCATTTTGAGTTACGGGCCGAGAACTCGTTATCGGGGGAAAAATCCTGCGTGTAGATGGGGAAAACTTCAATATCGTTG